CATTCCGATGTGGCGACCCTGGATTAATAAAGGGACTAAGCCAAAAAGAAAATGAATGAACAATTAGGACAGTAAAATCTGACTATGCTTAGACAAAAGTCTTGTCAACTAACTGACAGTATAGAATAAAAGCATGGTGCAGAGGAAAAAGAATTCATATTGTGTATGACTCCCATGAAGTCCATCTTACTGGAGACATGCTCAATAATGTTCATGTCTTGGTGACTGGGCTGGCCAATCTAAGAGCACATTGACTGACCTTCTTTGCTTTCAGGAACTTGGATTTGCAGGCTGAAGTATGAGAAGGAGTGCTATCCTGCTGAAGAATTTGTCCTCTCCTCTGGTTATAATGTAATGAGTTGCATAAGTATATTGGTACCTCAGGCTGTTAATGTGTTTGTCCACTCTGCATATCACTCACACGTCCCAACACTGAATGTAACCCCAAACCATGATTTTTCTTTTACCAAACATGACTTCTGTGACAATCTTGGGTCCAAGTGGGTTCCAATAGGTCTTCTGCAGTATTTGTGATGATTGGGATGCAGTTCAACAGATGATTCATTGGAGATATCTACCTTATACATAGCCACAGTGGAAGGAATCGCCAACTATTCCAGCATATGTTTTACGCAGCAGATGCCATTTTAGCCCCAACCCAGTACTGGGAGACACATACACATTTATTCACACGCACACACACACTCACTCATACACTACAGTCAATTTAGTTTCATCCAATTCATCTATAGAGCATTTTTATTTATAATATTTTTTTGTAATTTTTTTTTAATCTTTATCTTATCTTTATTTTATCAGATATATTTATATGTGTCATATGATTCCCTGGTTATAGAATTTTATATTGAAGATATTTGCATGAAATGTAATGTAATGATGTAAATCGCTAAATTAAATAATAAATAAATAAATTATGTTACTGCTTAAAGAAAATTATATTGAAATATTGCTAGCTTGGGTAAATGATCCTATAATAGCAAAATGTTACTAAAGTTGTCTAAGTTGTAATATGTAGCGTGTTACATTTTAAAAAATGTCCAATAAGAAGTCAATTAAGTTGTGCACTTTCAATTTGCTTTAGAAAGACTTTAATTATGTTTCCAAGTGTACAATTTCTGTACTGAGAATTCAGTGTGGATATATTTTCTTTTCCTCTTCATCTGTGTAATGAGATCATCTTTAGGGGAGTTAAATTACTGCCCTATATCTTTCAGGGGGATTCCAGTGTGTGTAATGTATGAGCATATGCCTTGACTAAATGTTTGGAGAGATTATTCTGAGACATATCGTTTTACTGTTAACACTTATAAACACACATACCTACACACAACATTTTCCATTAACACATATCAGAGGCAGGGCTTTTCTATTTTATCATTTCAATATATCTGCAGTCTCCATCTTCTACGCTTTCAGTATTGTGTGTGTTTACAAATGTAATGAAGATTTTGTATGTATAAAGCAGTGGTTCTCAGATGGTGGGCTTTGAGCTAACACGGTTCAAGGGAAGTACGTGTTTTGTGTTGTGAAGTGGTAGCTGCGTATAAATACATGTCAGTGTTTCATTTTCAGTGCTCTTTTGTGCATTAAACAATTTGGGTTTCATTGTCATTTTAAAGGGTTCTGAAATGAAATCCAATGAGAATGTGAAATATATTTCCTGAGCTATAATTTTAGAAAATGAAGAAAGGGAAATATCGCTTCCAATATTGGCACTATTATAATTGATATTTATTCATCCAGAAAAAGAATCATTAGAAAATTAACGTATTTGCAGTTATTGTGCTTTACTTATTGGATTTTGAGGCTTAAGATGCTTTTCTGAACTCTTACGTTATTAGTAAGCAGGCATCTGCTGACTGCTGAGAACATGAATATGAAAATAGCTAACATGAAATACAAATTGAAATGCATGTAAAGCTATTTTAAACAACATATATTTAGAAATAAATCTGTTGTTTTGTCATTCCTGTTACTCAAACAATCCTAAAAATCTGTATTATTTTCTTTCCTCTGTCAAATATCTTAAGATTATTAATGATTATAAAAAATGTTAATTGAGTACCAAAATCAACGTATTTTACGGATTTCTGAAGGATCAACATGGCATCTGCGCCTACAGAAATCCTGATTTTTTTCTTTAAGTCTATTTATTTACACATGTACATGGTTGTAAATTTGTTTATTTAGTTTTATATTAATTTCAGGAATATTATTGAAAAATATGCAAATGTGAGTATGATTTGTGTTCAATACTGTTTGTAAAAGTATTATTTCTGTCTTTTAGTAGATTTATGATATAAAACAAGTTATAATTGTATTTACATTGTAAACCATAAATAAACTTTAAAAAGTTAATATTTTTAAGTTTTTAGTAACTATAATCTCATTCATTTCGCATAAATCTAGTTTTATTAAATTGTTCAAAGAAATTGAAAAAATGTCCACAGATTCTGTCTGGCTCTGGTCACTTTACACTGAAAACTGGATTGCCGATGCCAATCATTTAGCAATCCTACTTTAAAGCAGCTCAAGGGAGTTTCAATTCTAGGACGTCCTGACTGGTGAATAAAAAATTAAGTTATGAAACACACACACATGGAAAGTGGCGCATGTTAAATGAGTGAGATTTGCTGTAAAGAGAGAAGGCAAACCTTGTATGAAGGGCTGAGCATGAAATTGGCTGCCCAGGGGCATGCATTAGATTAGAAACCTGAGCTCACAAACATACACTCACAAGCCAAAGCAGAAAAGAGAAGAAAATCAATCAGCCTTAAATGGAGCCAGAGAAAGTTAGTGGCATAAAAAACTGCACCTAGAAAAGCTCCGAACTGATCACTAACAGACTACACACTACCACCATTTTGCTAAGGCAGGCTGGTTTGTTAAGTACGCACACACACAAACACACACACACAATCATTTCATCATGTGCTTTTCATTTTTCCCCTGCTTTTGCCTGCATGCCTCAGCTCTCAGAACCATACGAGAACCATTTGCTCCTCAACGGCTGCCTGCTTCACACTACAGTCAAAAAAAAAAAAAAAAAAAAAAAAACAACAACTCTCTGACTCACTCTCACACACAACCACTCCATACTCTGGCTTTAGGTTAGTCTTTAAATCTGGTAGAAATATGAAAACACTCAATTACAGACATATGGATTACATATTTGACTTTCAGCTTGTCCATCTGTGCCAAAACCACACACTAGAAGGGTTAGTTTACTCAAAAACTACAAGTTTGTAATCATATCAAGCTCATGCCATTTCAAACCTGTGTGACATTAATTTTTTCTGAACTAACACAATCCCATGGCAATTCGTATGAATTTGTATGATCTAATTAGTACAATTTAGTATGATTTGCTCATCACCCAATGACGATTGGGCTTAGGGGTGGGGTTGAGTGACACGGCTCCTTTATAAAATTGTAGACTCTTGTATAACGCAACTCATATGAATTTGTACGAATTCAAGACTAAACTGACAAAACGTGAAATAGTTAAGTATTCTCGTGAGTTCAGGCTAGCAAAAGAAGAAAAAAACGTTACTAGTTTAGAAACTCTTTTTGTACATAAATTGACAATATTCTCCAATGATTATATATATATATATATATATATATATATATATATAGAATAGAATAGAATATTTTGTGTTCCAACATAAGGTTGAGTAAATGAAGGACTATTATTTTTCTTGGGGGAAACTGTCCACAATACACACCCTAAAAGAGTTAAGATCAATTGAATAATTTTTCTAGAACATCTTAAAGTTAATTTTGTTTATTGAATATGCAGATAGATAAACATAATTACAAATGTACACACAGTGGGTATGTACAGTTCAAAAGAATGAATCAGTGCAATGAATATGTGAAAATTTTAAATGTGCAAATGTTAAATAGTGCAGTGATTAGACTCCTCATAATCACTGCACTATTTAACATTTGCACATTTAAAATATAAATTGCATATTCATTGCACTACATTGCATTGATCCATTCATTTGAACTGTACATATTCATTTATCTATTTGCACACTTCTGATTATTAATAGCAACCTGTGCATATATTCATTTGTTGTATCTCTGTTTATAGCTAATACAACCTGCATATAATGTTTATAGTACATCCATCTGTAAATATCACCTATAGTTTTTCTATAACTGCAATTTACAATTTATACCTATATCCTGCACTTGCTGCAATTGTAATTCTAAACTGCATTTCATTGCCTTGTACATGTGTAATGACTATAAAGTTGAATCTAATCTATCTAAAAAATAAATTCAAATTGAGTATTGCATCTTTTAATACTATTTAATGTATCAGATCTATCATGAACAGTTGTTAACTAACATTACCAAAGATTATGGTAACTAGGCATGGGACGTTATTAGTTTTCAAGGTTTCAAAACTGCCAAAATTTTCTGCCATACTGCTAGGTATGTGTACGATTTTGTATTTACTTTTTTTTGTTTTGTTTTAAAGGGCAACAGTATCTCCAGCAGAAAACATATCCAAAATGCCATTTAAATTGTAATGAAATCTGTGTTTCTGACAGCAGAAGTCAATGACTCATTTGAATTATTCAGCCTGATATGTTTACTGCTCTTAAAATATTTTAAATGATTCTTAAAATAAAATATATAGTGTTCAAAGGGGCAAAGGTTTTTAATTTTTTACCTAGACATTTAAAAAGAATATATTTAGAGCTGTAATCATAATACTGTGAAACCGTGATACTTTTATCCAAGGTTATCGTACCATCAGAATCTTATAGCGGCCCATGCCTAATGGTAACAAATGTGTTGCTGATTATTAACATGCATATTAGTTCATTTAATAACTAATTAACTAAAAGAATCTTATTTTGAAGGAATAAGAGTTTTCCTTTACTTTTTGGGCAAATCAAGTTTCGAGAGAGAAGAAAAAATATTCTGTACAGCAATTTTAATTCAAAACAGAGAAAAACTTAAGTACAGAGCAAATGAGAGAGAGTGGCTACAAAATTCAGATTCTAAAGAGTACCAAACTTTGAAACATAAAAAGGTACAATTGCTTAAATACAAATATATATAATAAAGGTTAAATACAGATTTTTACAAATATTATGTACATATGTACATAATACATATGTACATATGTATTATGTACATATTAGGTATTATGTGTGTTTTAATTACATTAAGCACAACTGCCTGCCGTTAAAGCTCTCCTCCCCCCACGGCTCGCTTTGCTCTGTCGTTTGATGAATTCCCAGCTGGTATCTCACTTTCCAAGTTGAGTTTTTATGGCCAGCAGCTTATGAGAAAAAAACCCAGGGGGGCAGTAGAATGGGGAGGAACACATTTATGCACTTGGTATCAAATGGGCCATGTTTATTTGGTGAAGCCAAGTGGTTTATGTCCCATTTCTCTTTCTCGGCAGCCTCAGAAATAGACATGAATAATTGCTTTCAAAATACTGACAATCAAAGGCACTTTTTGTATTTCTAAAGTCATAATGCATGAAATTGTGGATCACAATGTCTCGTTTCAAACAGTGGTTTCTCCTTGTCCAGCACTGGTCAAACGCACATAGAACTTCTGCCAAGAGTGCAGTGTCTTTCCCGACCAGATCCAGAATCCTGAAGTGATCCCTACAATGAGGGTCATGAGGTACTTGATCATGAAGACGGTGAAGTCGGGGGTCATGTGAGGAGCGGGCTGCATGGGACAGGGGATGGCCAGGCTCTTACAGTTCATACTGATCCAGCTCTTCTCCCACTGCTGCCTAAAGGCCTGCTCATAAAAAAAGCAGGCAATGACGATGGTGGCTGGGACAGTGTAGAGAACCGAAAAGACACCTATGCGGACCATCAATCGCTCCAGCTTTTCAGTCTTGGTGCCATCATGTTTCATGATGGTTCGGATGCGGAAGAGCGACACGAAGCCTGCAAGCAGAAATGAGGTGCCAATGAAGAGGTAGAGGAAAAGAGGAGCCAAAATAAAGCCCCGCAAGGCATCTGAATTATTCAGGCCCACAAAGCAAACTCCGCTTAGCACGTCTCCATCGATCTGCCCCATTGCAAGGATGCTAATAGTCTTTACGGCTGGAACGGCCCAGGCAGCCAGGTGAAAGTATTGTGAATTGGCTTCAATAGCCTCATGGCCCCATTTCATACCCGCCGCCAGGAACCAAGTGAGTGACAGGATGACCCACCAGATCGAAGAAGCCATACTGAAGAAATACAGCATCATGAACAAAATCGTACATCCTTCCTTCTTTGTACCTTGAACAATGGTTTTGTAGCTGTCAGGAAAAAAGCTCTCATTGCACACAACCTTGTCCCCGAGGAAGTAGCCAGCGATATATGCAATGGACACCATGGTGTAGCAGCCAGACAGAAATATAATAGGACGCTCAGGGTATTTAAAACGCTGCATGTCCACTATATATGTGGTTACAGTGAATAAAGTGGACGCACAGCAGAGCGATGACCAGATGAGGATCCAAATGCGGGCAAACTCAATCTCCTGGTCTGTGAAGAACATGTAGGCCCTGTGTGTTCTGGAGGACTCGCAGGGGGCACCACAATCTGGCTCACCCAGGAACTTATAGCTGAGGTAGGCTGGCACTTTGAGTGTGGAAGGGCAGCGAAATGGTTTATCCGGTGTGGAGTAGAGCTGAACGCTTGGTGTTCCTGGAATGGGCATGTGAACGGGTGACACGGTGGCCATGGAATCATTCTGGCCCACACAGATGTGTCCGTCACCCAGAACTGGGAAATGCTCACATCTGAGCGCCTCTGGCCACTGAAAGCCAAACTTGTTCATGAGGACCTCACAGCCTTGCTTCGCCCTCTCACAAATGGAGCGGCATGGTGGGATGGCTTTCTCTAAAACTGTGCACACTGGAGCATACATGGAGCACAGGAAGAATTTGAGCTCGGGTGAGCACTGTACCTTGACAAGCGGGTAAAACTGATGGACCTCAAGCCCGGCATCATCTTGGTTGTAGTGTCCCACCAGATTTGGCATTATGGTTTGATTGTAAGCGATGTCCGTACACAGAGGGATAGTTATGGGCTGGCAGAAGCCGTGATCAGGGACCGCTATGCCATTATCTCCTTGATGCTGTCCAGACGCCACGAAACAGCACGGCAGTAACAGTGCCAAAAACACACACACACTTCCACTCGCCTGCATTGTCTCGAAAAGTTCCGCTCAACTTTCTCTTGATACAAAATGAGTCCGGCAAACTATGCTTTTCCCGACATATCATCTATTCTTCGAAAACAAAAAGTTTGGATAAACTCACAAACTAGTGTAAATCGCATACTTTCCGAGGAGTATCTGTTGCGCGTAGGAGCGACTGCATGACTTTTCCCCCTTTGTCCGCCAGACTGTTTCAAGTTCCCCCTGGGCGCCTGTTGCCGACTTTGAAGGGAGCGCGAGGAGGAGGGATTTCGGGGGTCTTGAAACAGATTTCTACTTTAAACCCCCATCACAAGGTCTTCAGACCGATTGAATCACAGGAGACCCATATCAACACCATATGCACTTAGTCATCTCAAAACCTAGAGCACTTAAAAAAGTTCAATACTTTTTCGAGTCCGTTAAGCTGTGGAGGGACGTGAATTTGGAAATCCACTTTACTAAAAACACATTTATTTCAAAATAAAACCTATCTATCTATCTATCTATCTATCTATCTATCTATCTATCTATCTATCTATCTATCTATCTATCTATCTATCTATCTATCTATCTATCTATCTATCTATCTATCTATCTATCTATCTATCTATCTATCTATCTATCTATCTATCTATCTATCTATCTATCTAAGGGTGACATCTTGTGGTTGTTGTCGGTAAATATCCCACGTTACCGTTTTATTTCTTTATTTAAATAAATATTAAATATATTACAGTTTTTCTCAATTGCTTTAGTGCATTTCTCACAACACTACACATTTTCACAACAGCAATGCATTTCTCAAAACAATTAGTGCAAACTGCAAAATCTAGCTGATAACTTGCAAAAGCACGTCACTTGCTCAAAATGGATAGTTCATTCCTCAAAAGCAAGTATTCATGTCAATCAAAGTGTCAGTGTCATCAAGATGAAAAGTCCTGACACCATTGTTTATGAACAAGATAGTCATATGGCTTTGTCATGTTTTCATTATGACAGTTTACTCTGTACATTTTTTTCAATGCAATAAAGTCAGATTTTGGTTACACTTCCTCAAAATGCTCAAGACAGCACTAGATACTATTTGCACAGTCATTTGAAAACTACAGTAAAGTTAGACATGCCTGCATTTAGTGAGATATCTGAATACAAGACACTTCAAATGTATGTTTCCCATTTTTACTGCATTTGATCTTTGCAATTCTAATTTATTTACAGCATTGTGCAAAAGAATAAACACACCTTTATTTACAACAAACATAAACTTCCTTTGGGAGCTATGCACAACTGTGAACAATACTGCAGTACATATTGGAACTGAACCTACAACATACATCTGTAAATCATTCATCAAACTGTTCAATTTAGAATACTTTTCAGGGAAAAAAAGATTTAAAACTGACAGTTTTAAACAACTAGTTCAACAATTTTGTATGCAATGACTCTAATGAAATGAGGACTATCAGTTTTATATGCAAGTACTATTCAGCATTTGCAAGTTTAGTTAATTTGGCTGACATGACATAAGCAACTGATAATGTTATAAAACAGCAGAGAGTTGTATGAAAGCAATTGATGCGTGTCCAAAAGCATTTGTTGGAAGAAATTAAAAAACTGCTACTATGATGTGCACAAATTACTAATTGTTTTTAAGAGAAATGCATTAACTGTTGTGCAAATGTAAATAGTGTAATGTGCAAATGTAAAAAGTGACTGAGAAAAACTGTAAGTAAATATATATATATATTTAATATTTAACTATATATTTGGCTCTTTTATATACAATATTCACGTTTAAACTAATTGTGTTTAAAATTTAAAGTGCGATATGTTTGATTAATATTAAAATATCAAAAACACTCCTGGTCTCTTATGTTGAAGCCTGCACATAAAATATATTTTAAAATAATTTCAATTATTGACAATTATGATTTAAATTTCAACAGTTTTTTTTATAACGTCATTCATTCCTGGATGTATTTTTAAAAGGCTTATTAATCAAGTCTTCATTGTCATATAAAAAAAATGTTGATTTGCTGCTCAAAATAAATATTGATTAATACATAAAAAGAAAACACTGTTACATATTATTATTCAAATAAATGTATTATTTTATTAAAGGATTCAGCACTGAAGACCAGAAGGTTTTAAACATTGTTTACACGTCTTCTTAATTTTGACCAGTTCGACTAAAATTAATAATGTTTTTAATATGATTGATATCGTGAAATACTAAGACAAATGATTTTTTCAAAAATGATTTCTTCTTTTATTAGTAATGCATTCCTAGTAGTGTAAGGCATAATTGAATAGAATAGAGAGAAAAATACAGATAGAGCGAGCCAAAATAAAATAATGAGGCCTAGTGACTTTTTTACATGTTTGGAACATTACTATTTCGTTGCTAAGCGCGACTCTGCGCAGACTATTTGATAGAATCTGATTGGCTAATTGAAACCGGCTTGGCCAATAGGAATATGGTAAAACCTGTCGACTTCGAGACAGCACACCGCAGACGCTTCGCGGGTATACTGGTGAGGAGACACAGGCTACGGCGGATGATTTGCTTTATTTTATGTCACTCTGCCCGTCGAAGAGTCGACGTCTTTAATTTATTCTTTAAAAAATCAGCCGATTATTTAGGAAAATCGTGAATATAAATATTTATAAATCCTAATTTATATCACAAGTAACTTATCGAGCGAGGCCCAAAGTTTACAGTCAATGGAGGTAAGAGCTGTTTCTGAGTAAACTGTCTAACGTTAGCTTGTTCGCTTTTTCTGTCTGCTTGTTAAGTGCTTGTTAAATGGCCAAAACAGAGTAAGAAGAGTACACATGTATTACCAAACATAAAATATTACATAGCAAATTAAGAATAGTAAAAGTCAAGGTCTCTTTAATATAACTCTGTGTGAAGTTCGTGTTTTTTTCAGTAACTTAGGCGAGGGAAATCCCCCCACAAGGCCTGTTTAGACTGGAATTAAAAGTTAACTAAAAGTCATTTTGCACATGCTGACCAGTTTATATATACATTTGTGTGCTGTTTGCCATTATTGTTCAGTATTATAAGTACAGTTTTACCTTTATGCTTTATAAAACAAGCACATAAGTTAATTTGAACTAAGTTAATGTAATTTTCACCTGTGTTTAAGGGTAACGTTAATAATGCAGGGAAAAGCAAAATCAGTGTGGATGCAAATGGAGCAAGAACAATCTTGGATCGATTTCAGAATTCAGGAACAGACTCCTATTTTACCACCTACAAGCCTCAGGTGAGTAACGTTAAGCTGAAGATATATATAATGATGTAAAACATATAACGTTACTGTTATCACTGGGTGTATTTGAGTCACTATTTGTGACCCTGAACCACAATACCTGTTATAAGGGTATTTTTAAAAAAGGTTTACACATTATTTTTACATTTATAGTTAATTAATAGGCTTTCCTTTTTGTAAGTATAAGAAATATTTGGCTGAGATACAACTTTTTGAAAAACTGGAATCTGAGGGTTCAAGAAATCTAAATGCTGAGAAAATCGCATTTAAAGTAGTATAAATTAAGTCTTAGCAATGCACACTACTTATCAAAAATGGAGTTTTGATTACAACAGGAAATGTACAAAATATGTTAATGGAACTTTATCTTTATTGAATATACTAATAACTTTGGCATAAAAGAAAAAAAACGTCATCGTTTTGACTCATACGATACATTTTGGCTCAAAATTCTCTTGTAATATAAGGTCAGAGTTCACATTTCATCTTTTATATATTAATCAAAAGAGAGTAATTTACCTGTATTTTTAATGCATAATTATTGGAAGTCGTAGATATAATGTGTTAGAATGTTTTAGAATTGAGTATGATTTTAAATGTCTTTCCGTGTCTTTCCACTTTATTAACTGCCTCCCATCATGCTATCCATCAATAAATGCTCTATTCATAATTTTCAGACTAGTTTCAGTGACAGCAGATTTCTGTCTCAGTCGTCCAACTCATTCTCGAACTGCCAGATGCAAGACTGTGCTCCACTACCTTACACAGTTTGGTCAACTCAGGAAGACTGGCCTCAAGCTATAACCAATAGCAGGTTATAATTAATTTTTATTTATATTAATAATGTTGTAACATTTGAACATTGTATATTGTATACACGTTAATATTTTGAAAAGTATTTGACATTAAAGATTTAAAGTTTGATTTTGCACAGAAATTCGATAAATGGCAATAATTGTGGCAGTGAGGCTGATCTTTATGGATTAGTGTCAGATATCTTGGATGAACCAGATTCAGTGGACCCCTACCCCTCATATGAGAAGTAAGTCCCTCCTAATTTATGTAACAGATATTATGGGAAAAAGCTAATTATAATTATAGCTGTGTAAAAACAGCAAATTGCACATTCATTTTCTCAGAAAATCACGTTTAATATGTCTTAATCAGCCCTTATATCAAAATCAATTTCAAAACCAGTGTTCTGTAGTTACATTTAATTTAAAAGTAAGCAATATGCATTTGCAATTTACAAAATGTCTATATTTCCCAAGTTTAAAAAAAAAAATTCATGGTACATGCATAGCAAGTTTAGTTTTTCCCATTTTAAAATTTCTGGCAAATCATTTAATTGTGAATTTAGAAGTAAAAAAAGATTATAAAATGAATTGAAAACAAAACATACAGTTTTACATATTACAATTTTTAGGAATGATGAAATACTATTTTTGTCATTCTGTCTAATTTCTGTGATTATTCCCTAATAAGGCTTTAATAATTGTGTTTATCCTAGGGCTATAGTTATTTCATAATTTTTTTAAGTTGAAGAGTTTTCCCGAAGTTCATTCAGTTTTTTTGTGTATATGGTTTGACAGTAGTTTTCTGAAATGAAAGAATAAAACGGCTGTATAGCAGGGCTGTACGATTAATCGAAAAAAAGATCCTAATCTCGATTCGCCCTGCACATGATCTTAATACAGCTTTTCTACGATTCAGCGAATTATATTTTCAAACTCAGGAGAGAAGAGTAAAGGCAGACGCACGAGTCTTCACAGGAACATGAACACCTTCAAATGGCGTCAAAAGTGTAACTATTTATAAGGTAAAATTCACCCAGAAATGTAATTTCTAACTTCAGGTAATGATATTTGC